CAACTGCACTTAAATCCCCGTTTGTCCTTGACCCTGAGCTAATTCTCGGTTTGAACGTCAGCAGGTTGTCTCGGCCTACGTGGCCGGACACACCGAGTCGCTGCAACACGAGCATTAATGCACAGTTGAACTGGTGCACTTAACAAAGTGGTCAGTGAGTGTAGTTGTAGTGAAATATTTACTCAGGAGCATCTGAGAACACTGAGAGAAGAGCAAACAAACTGAATATGCGGGCCACATATCCTACACGTAAGGATAAACAGCAGCAGCCACTTGATTGTGTTTGTCTGTCTGAAGCTGAGTGCTGCACAGAGCACACACTTGACCTTCGTCCTCCTACCTTCTTTCTCTTCCGCCTCCTCTTCTTCTCCTTGGCAGCTTGAGCAGCTTTGTGTTCGTACACCAGGGTGGTGAGGTTGGCCACATATTCATCCGTCTGCTGCAGCAAGTAGGCCAGACGCTTGTCTTTCTTTTGATCGATCAGTTTTCGGTACCCTTCCTCGTCTTCTGCCTGGATGAACCAAAGTGACATCAAATTAAAGACGAGAGCTGCTGGAACGGTAAAGTGTAAATGATCCATTATGATAACAGGACGGGATTACAAATAAACTCCACTGCACTCATATAGTTGCCAGTTTAACCTTTAGGATCTTTAATTATTATTATGATTACAAATGGATCCTTTACAAAACATGCTAACAATAATTTTTAAACTTTTAAATGGCTAAACTGTGTATTTGCACACCAGCGACCTCATCTGTAAACTGTCTCTGTGGCAAAGTCCTCCTCTGTCTGCATCATACGGCACTTCTACAGTTTCCCTTCTCTTCAGTCATGCGTGTAATGAGGCCTCAGCAGCACTAACAGCGCTGGCAGCCGAGTGGGGGGCTGAGAAGTGCGAAACAGGACCGCAGAGCCGCAGCACGACACTGTGGACGTTTGTATCGTCTGCTATTATTTAGCTGACAAACTCCAGCTCTGATTTAATGAGTCGGAATGAAATCAGACACCAGAGAAGATCGAGAACAGCGGAAAACGAGTGGACAGTCACATCCTGCTTCTCACTGAGACCATCACCCGCATTAAATACTAATTCTGAAAGGTTCAGTTTTGGTCTGCTGGTGCATTTGGGGGCATTTCTTATACAGATGCAGAGAGCAACATTTAGACAGACGTCTAAGTGTGTCGAGCCAACACTGAGCTCAGTGGCAACAACTGGCATCATAAGAACAGCACCAGCAGGCTGGTCCAAGCTCAGCAGGCCCAGATCCTTCATTTGCTGGCAACAAACACGTTTACTGTAAGCTGTGATGCGCTTGTAGCCACTATAGTGAATAATCAGCCTGTATATCTGTAACTTTTGCTCTGAGCATTTATGAAAACACTTCCAAAAAGATTGATCTTGGTTTGGCGCTCCTCACCATGAGTCTCCTCATCCTCTCCTTCTCGATTCTCTCCGTCTCCTTCTTCTGCTCGCGCTCCGTGTTGGTGTGCCAGGTGGCGATGGCTCTGGTGAGCTTCTGCATCTTACCGGACACGGAGCGGTGATACTCTTTGAAGTCCTTGGCATGTTGGAGGATGCTGTTGAGATATTCCTGAAAAACAAGTCACAGGTTTTTGTTTCTGCAGACACAACCCTGACGCCACGTGAGTTTTCTCCTGTCAGCTCGTCACCTGCTGGATGCTATCGCACTGTTGACAGGTTTCTGATTGCTTTTGTTTTGACTGCAGGAAATGAGACGGCAGCGTTTTGTTTTTTTAACCAAAAATTGTCAGGAATACTTTTTATTAGCGGTGCAGCGGATCCCGGTTGATCTGTAATCTGAACTGACCCCACTCCACGGTTTGGTACGCACGTGATCCGAAAAAGAAGGAAAAAAAGTATGTGTATGGTGCGCGTGGTCAGTCTGTGGTAGTTATGGTCAGCACTAGCGGTCCAAGTGAAGGAGCGGAGGAGTTTGTGGTATTTAAGCAGCCTTTGCTGCCCAGTCCGACCGGGCTAAAGCTATGAAGCTATAAAGCTGAAAGCCTGAATAATCGTCTCCTTCATTGAGATCAGACAAAAGCACTAACTAACAATAACGACTAGTAAGTGCCTCAGTTACCAGAAATTACAGTCAGAGATAAGTATTTATGAAACCTCAGAGAAATCAAAATTCATAACATTTATAGAACCAGAATTATCCTGTATGTTAATCATCTGAAACATCATTATTATCTAAATACTTCATTAATCATTTTCTAAGTAATAAACCTATAATTTACAACCATAACAGCTCCTAAATAACTGGTCTGTCTGTGATGTCATACTTTAGACATATAAAACTACTGTCACTGATGATGTTCTGAACTTATTGATCCAGATCTTTTAAATCTGTCTTAATGTAACCAGCGTGTTCCTACGTTGTGTCTGACAATGAAAGGTCAAAGAAACAAAGACCTCCAAGACCTGCTTGAGCCACGCTATGATATCCCGTTCGCGTCCACTTTAGTGGCAAGATCGTTCCAAGCGTGTATGAGCAGGAAAAGATTTAAGTTATGGCTGAACTGTCCCAGGCATCTTCTGTTGCTCTAACGGCTACAAGTGGGTGGAGCTCCAGGGCAACGGAAAGCTACGTGACCGTGACCGCTCGTTATATCACAGCAGAGCGAGATATAATGAGCGGTGTGTATTATTGTAGGGTCGACCTTACAATATAAAGATTGTTTATATGATTTGGCACTTTATAAATAAAATTGAATTGAATTGAATTGAGTAGTAGATACAAAGCCCTATACCGCTCTATATTGAACCATAATTGTTTTTAATATTGTGTGGAATGAGTCTAGAGATGAATGTTTTTAACAGGCAAAAAATACTTCAATAAGTAAATGTTACATTTTTGTCTTTTTTCTTTTTTCACTGATCTGAAAATTGATCCGATCCGTGAGATTTTTGATCCGTTGCACCACTACTTTTACTGATTTCCACGGCACTGCAGTTTTTACAAGAACAACAATAAGATAAATGATATAATAAGTGCTGTGGGTTGTTACACGGACTCACCTGATGTTTCTGCCTGCGCTTCTTTTCCTGCTCGAGCTTCTGCTGCTTCTCCAGCTTCTCGGTCATGCGTGCCTCCCTCAGCGTCTGCCGCTTGCTGCGCCGGTAAGCCTTCGAGTTGAGCGCCGTCTCCAGGGTCGTGTCTCGTCTCATGCAGGCCACGACGTCCTGCCTCAGCTGGGATATTCATCAACGGATTACACATCCAACTCTAAAGTGATCTAATCTAACCTGCATCTCTAAAGTACAAATTGAGTACGAGTTGAAAATAGTGCTAAACTGCAGCTTGAGGCACTATTGTATTATCAAAGGGCTTAAAATGAACAATTTGGCTTCTATTTAAACGTTTGCATGATTGAATGAGCTTCCTTTAAAAACAGGGTTGGTCCACTTCATTACAAAGCACGACCCTCATAAGAGAAATTAAGAATTCTGAAAGTGTCAATAAACCAAAACAACAATGAAACTCAGCCTAAAGAAACAAATTAATAATAATATTCCAATAGTCCAAACTCTGTATGTACGTGTACCTTTAACATAAATCAGTGGAAATGGCACCTCTGTTCTAAGAATACCTGAGCAGCAAACCAGCCAGTGTGGATTTATCGATAAAAGCGCCGCACACACTCACACGGCGGGTGATCTGATGAACTTCCAGTGATAACAAAAGTGAGCTCTTTCGACTACGAGCCGCTGCAGTTATGCATTTACATTGATGCAGGCACGTGAGACATGAAACGCTGCAGCTGTACCTGACGCTGGAAGTTGAGCAGACGCAGAGCCTTGAGCTCCACTGTGGCTTTAGTCCTGAGGTCCGGAGGCAGCGAGCCTGGCAGACTTTCCAGTTCCTGGATTCGATGCGCGATCCGAGCCTGCAGTCTGAGAGACATTACGGAGACATTTGGTTAAACTGCAGGACACTGGACACACATACAGTGTTGTCCACCACATGCTGTCAGGTATTTACATCACTGGAAATTTGGACGATGGTGATATATCCATTATTATTATTATTATATCCATTTGCCATGAGACCTGTCAGCTGTTATCATATTATTTAGATGAGATTTGGATGCAGATTGCACTTTTCACAGCAATCTGCAACATCTGAATCTAGCATGTCTCTTTTGACGTATGTTTTGTTTTGCAGTTACCTTCATTAGAGCCTCCATCAACACATGGTCTCATTGCCTCAGGTGCATACTGAGTGTTTGCTCAATAAGCATCTTTCAGGCTTAAAGTCTAATTTCCCAGTGCTTCTTTAGCTTCTTTGGTGCATGTTAACAAGGATGATGACACTCAGGTCCAACTAAACCATAAAACCTGCACGTTTTGTGTCGTCTTACTGAAAGTTTTCCCCCTATATCTCTGGGTGGTCTGTTGCCCGCAGTACGAGTTCTGGTCCTCTTCACACATCCATGGTGCAGCTACACTGTGAGCTTTACTTATTTAGTAGTATCATCAGGTAGCTTTCTGAGGGGAAACTGCATTAAATCAATAAGATCTAAAGTTGTTTTGATTACCGTAATTGTCGGGCTATAAGCCGCTACTTTTTGCACAAGCTTTGAACCCTGCGGCTTTTAGTCAGGTGCAGCTAATGTATGTATAAAACAGGATTTTCCCCTGATTTTAGCTTGTGCGGCTAATATTCAGGTGCGCTTTGTAGTCCGGGAAATACGGTATTCAACAGCCTCAGGAGTATCTTTATTACTACATAACACTACCAATAATGCAGTGCTGCTCCACAACACTGAGAGAGGCACAGTATTTCACAATGTATTCACTGGACAAACAAGGTGGACTGAGGACAAGTCTCTCTCTAATCATGTCTAAACCAATGCAGCTTGGTCAAGACAACATGAAGAAGAGATCATCAAAACAACATCAAATTTATGGAGAGAAAAACGAGCTTTAGGGCCAAAGCAGGATTAAGGTCCGTGGAGGCTTCCCAACGTCTCTTTCGGGAATCTTTGTTTTTAGAAAAATACGCATGCTGCGGGGATAACAGTGAGTTGTGATTGAGCACGCGAGGCACCTTTAAGAAAGGCCATAGGGGCTCCACCACAAAGTGTTTCTCACGTTATCATATTCGTACGGGTAAAGCTTGTAACCTTAACCCTCGTCAAACGCTCGCAGACTCTGCTCGCAAGTCTTCATGTCACAGTCAATGTTTGGATCTGTGACTTAAACTCATGTAATGTCACATATGCAGAGCAATGCAGTTTGTTTTGTGCAGCAGACACATGAATTCATCTTCAAACTTTCCTTTACCACTGATTTCATGCAGGCAGTTTGTGTAGATGTGAAGTTTTTGCACTATTGTGAGACCACTGATGAATACGTGAATGTGTCTACCTGTATTCTCTCTCCTGCAGGATTCCCACTGGGTCCAAGCCCTGGGGCTTCTGGATAGGCGTGACGCGGTTCTGCTTGTGCTGTATCGGGAGCATTACGGAGCCCTGCTGCCCGGGAGGCTGAGGGGTCCCCGAACTGCCCGGCATGGGCCCGGCTGGCACAGCAGAGGCCTGAGGTGGTGCAGGAGAGGGGCGACCACTAGCAACAGGAGTGAGCTGCTTCTGTGCAATGGTTTGATTTTCAGCACACTGACCTGGAGAGCAAAGACTTCTGGTTATTGCGTCCAGTCTCACATGACCAAAATCTCAAATTCCTTCAGTACCAAAAGGTTTTTAAAAGTTTAAAAACACAACAACCTCACATCAGTCCTATGTGTCAGTATGGTTTCGTTTTTTTCAGTTTGGTTTTAACCACAACAAGCTGCATGAGTTTTTTTATGCTTAATGAGCTTAAATACCTGGGGGCAACCATTCAAAGCAACTGACAGTGGACAAAAGATGTGAAGAAAAGAGTGCAGCGGGGTGGAGACGAGTGTCAAGGGTGATCGGTGACAGAAGGACAGCGGCAAGAGTGAAAAGGAAGGTTTACAAGATGTGAGTGACCTGCTATGATGGTTTGGAGACACTAAGTAATTTAGAAATGAGCACATCATAGGGACAGCTCAGCTTGGATCTTTGGAGAGGACATGGTCTGAACATCTACAGAGGAGAGAGAGGAAATACGCTGGACAAAGAATTATAAACACACAAGAAAGTTTTCAGGCCAAAGAGAAAGTTTACAGATGTAGTTAGAGAGGATGAGCAGATTATTGGTGTGAGAGAAGGTGCAGAGGGTGAGATGGATCCACTGTGATGACCCTAAAGGGACGAACTGGATACGTTAGGTAAAAATACCGTCTGTAAAAATGTCTGCACTGGGAAATACTCCTAAATACCAAATTATCACATGGGAAGTTTGGGAGAAAAATGAACACACGCACATCAACCAGGGTTTTCTCAATTCAGTAAATGCACCTGTGTGTTTACAGACAACCTGGCACTTACACACATCTTATGGATTTTTCCCCCTTTGGCTTTAGGAGGTCAGTTTTTCTGTTCCTCATACACGGTTAACTGAACAACACAACGCCAGAGCTCATGACCGAGGAAAGAGTGTCCTCACCTGGGAGCAGCTAGCTGTCAGAAAGATCTCCCTGAGCTTCTGATGTTTCTGACAGATTCATTTTTCTATTTGTTCAATTTTAAATGGACCACAGTGGAAGATGAGATTTTCTTGTTCTGTATCTGTTTTTAATTTATGACTGTTTTACTATTCATTCTAAATATTTCATCTTCTTGTCATATTTTCTTGCAGTACTACTGCACCATTATTCTCTTCACCTTTACTGAAGTTTTAGTAAATGCTTGTGGATCTATCTGCTTTAAGCCATTTGACAGAAAAATGAGTCATGCAGAAAACCTGTTGGCCACTGCATGTTGGATTAGACTGAGCAGAATGAAAAGTGGGACTGACTGTGCAGCCACATGCAGATCCCTGCGTTATCGGTCACAGAGCCCAGGTTTACCACATACACCTGCCAAACTTACCATCGGCCCAAGGCTTGGGTCCTGTGCTTTGATTGTGTACTTGCATGGCCGGGGCTGGGCAGGGACTCGACTGGGGACCCCCCATAGGTGCCATTGGCATACCTTTCAACACAATAACAGATTTCATAGTTCGACAATATGTCTGCTACAATTTGAAACTGTAAAGGAAAATTATTTCACGCCTCTTTTCTGTCATTACACCATTAATCACACAAATCTCTGTTCTCTGTCAGACAAAACAGGTTCAATATGAATGATTCAATCTGGGCTCAATGACAATTTCAAGCTTTTTACTCAATTTATTAACAGCAACGTAAACCCAAAACTAAACTATGTAATTAGATCAGTTTATATTTTGACTGAGGCATCTTTCTACAGTCTCACATTAAGCTACAAAAAAGAACCAAAAACAAAATCATAATTCTTCTTTATCTTTACTTGTTAATGTTCAAAGACTTTCACAACAAAGAAACTCACAAAATATTTGTACCAACATAAATCTGTATCGTACCTGGAGGCCTGTTGTAAGGACTGGCACTTGGTGCCTGCGGCTGCGGCTGTTGTTGTGGTTGCTGCTGCTGCTGTTGCATTGTGGGTAGGCTCCTTTTACCTTGAACGGCCAGCTGAAGGTTTTCCGGTAGCGGCTGCCCACGACCCAGAATCTTGTAGGCCAGAATCTGAGCTCTGAGCTGCTGCAGCTGTACTGGACTAAAAGCAGATGACCCCCTCACCTGCTGACCCATGTTGGACATGTTGGACATGTTGGACATGCCTCCTTGGGGATCCATTGACATCATAGGGCCTGACTGGGCAGGGGGCATGTGTGGTGGTGTAGGTCCACCTCCGCCTCCTGACATGGGACTTGAAGCGTGCTCATGGACTCCCATTGGGGACGGGTGGGGGGACATGTACCCTTAAGTGCACAGAAAGGAGGTTTCATTGTCAGTATTAAAAAAAACACCCAACCACACATCAAAGCCTTGAAGAATTGGGTCACAACCTCGGGATCAGAGCAAAAGCCAACGAGTCTTAGAGGTTATTTAATCATTAACACACTAGAAAGAGGAAACTACAAAGCTGGGTTATTTATTTCCTTGCTGCTTTCTCCTTGTTTAATATTAACTCTTTTATTTAGAAGATGTCTGAGAAACATTAACACCACAAGTGGATGATGAGGTTAAGTTAATAAACCAGGCTGCTTAGAGAGCTGAAGGACTTGGGCTTCAAACCTTGGCTGTGCTGGTCCATAGGACTCTGTGGAGGTCCCATGCCACTATGGAGAGACCTCATCCCCACACCTTTCATGTGACCAAAGTGCATTGCCTCTGCCATTGACTTGTCATTCATCCCCTCCATGGGCTGAAAACGCAAAATATGTTTCAGATCTACACAAGTCAACTGCAAAAACACACTCCTGCCAGTTTACGATTGAATTTAGCACACCGATGGTTCTAATCATATCAAAAAATAAACATTAATAAGATAAAATAAGACAGCCTTTATTAGTTCCAAAGTTGGGATTATTACAGCAGCAACATGAACTGCCTGCCTAAGCAGA